TACAAAGCTTAGTAGCCTAAAATAACAGGACAAAAATTGTTTTATTATCTTCTCGTTTTTTTCGCGATAGTGAAGACTTGGGTTTTAGGAATGTCTCTTTGAGCTTTATATCACAAACTAAGCGTGTCTTGCAATCGCTTTTGTGGTTCGTAGGTGCTCCCCGGTCTTTTTCTGTACACCAGTGGTGCTATACTTATACAGTTCTGCCCTCGGGCTTATACTTTTTGGGTTTTTCCACGAAAGAAAAGCTTTTCAAAAATGATCTTCGACTTCTTCTGCATTTACCCGTTTCTATCTATCACTGGTATCCATGAGTGCAACTGAATTTGAGCTTTCTGGGTAACCTTGAAACTTCTCTTCTTGCTTAGGCCTTTTTCAAGCTAAGATTACAAGTTTCCACTTCTTACTTTACTCTTGTCTTATGTAGAGATGCTTACCGGCTGTGTTGAAATGAAAAGGTCGGGCGTGCGCCGCGGTGGTACCTATGGGAAGCTGACCGGGGGTGCGCATTACACAGCTTTCCGCTCCTTTTCAATATGTTTATAACAACACAGAATACTTACAGATAGACAGGCAGATTAGGTATATAGAACTTCAGCTGTGCTCAACGCTTGATACCCTCCTCAGCGAGGATGTCAATGCTTGCTATTCTTAGTTATAAAATACTAAAGCCTAGCTGTTCTGCTTCATTCTCGCCGGTAATGCACTTCGAGTTGGGCCGTTCGTTTCTGCTAGCGTATCTCTCATTTTCATTTCGATGCGGTCTATTCGAATAAACTCGTCCGTAATATTCTAAAATGTCAGTAATAGTGAGATATTTTAAGGCAGTCTTGCTCTTACCATTGGCAGAGTTTGGCATCTTTTCTCTCGCAGAGCATTTTCCTTTATTTTCCTTTCTATGTGATCAATTCGAATTTCAATGTCTTTTAGCACAGTCTGAACGCTAAGATGTAAGCTTTTGGATTCCTCCAGATTGCACTTACCTTCAGTGGACTCATGATTTCGGTATTGTTTATTGGGGCAATCCTCAATTCTCTTTCGATGCACTCCTCTCGGCTTACAATCTCTTCGATCAAATCCATACTGTAAATGACAATGTTTTTTTTTTTCAAAAGGAAAGGATTCAAGCTCAAAAGTCCAATCGAAATGGGCTTATACCACCGTGATCTAACTAATGCGTTGCGGACCTGTCGTTTCCAGCTGCAGGCTACTAGAAGTGTTGTGAAAACTATATACGGATTCAAATGGATAGGGATTGGCGATGTTATAAGTAACGTACAGCAGAGAGCCTGGGCTTAGATTGTTTTCTGTAGCCTTTTGCAAAATTCATCGCATTGTGAATGAGAGTATGTTTCTTTTTGCAATTAAAATCGCCATATATATCAGGTCGGCGAAGAGTTTTGTCAGGTTTTGACTCCACCGACAAATAGATTGAATAAAGATAAACATATTACAGCAAGTATATTGCAGAATTTCTTCCTCTTTGCCAATGCCAAGTTTTCAATGCGACTTATTGAAAGAATGCTGAAGATTACAACCTCTCGTGTTCACCACGTCCAGCCTTCGCATGTTTTTAGAAATTTTTTTTGATACTTTTGCAAGAGCTTTAATAGCCATCAGGTAGGGGGTAAACCTGCCAACTGGAGCAATTTTTCTT